AGAATTCTCTCAGTTATGCAGATAAAGAAATGATTATAAATAAACATGCTTAAAAAAAAAGGAAAAGTTTTTTATTTTAATTTTTTTTTTTTAAACTTTTATGTTAAAAGAGTAGCATATTTTATCTAATTATGCTGCGATGCTAAAACATTTGCAAAGCATTACTTTATACTAATTACTTAAATTGTTGCCTTAAATATGTTATGCGATTACTTATGCATGGAATATCTCTGGAATTTATAATCCTTTTATAGCTGTTTGATAATATTCTTTAATTGGCTTTAATTAGCCATACATATACATGCAAATTCACATCAGAGAATCAATTGTGTATATGAATATACAGCAATAAACATAAATTTGAAACACACAAAAGATTATTTTATATACATATATATTTGATAAAGAAATTTCACAAACTTATACATTCATATTTATCACTGGTTTTTGAAACATCACTAAACTGCATGATATATATAAAAATAAGTATATATTTTGTACAACCATAGCAAACCAACAAATGAGGAACTCTACAAAACACATAAATTATATATTAAAAACAACAGAACTATGACACAGATTCATCTTAAAATGTAAAAATATTATATCAATGGAATGTTCTATTACAATCTTTAATTAATTCTTTTTTACCACTTTGATATCATTCATGACTTTAATTGGTTTATGCAAGTTAAGAAAGTATTTTGAAATTTATTTTTTGAGAATAAGCACGAAAGGTGCAAAAACGTAATAATTATCACAAATATATCATTCTAAAATATGATGAAAAAAGTAGAAATTTGCATACAGTGAAACTTCATTCTTAATTTGCAGCATAATTAACTGTGGGATCCCAAAATCTGCTCAGTGGAGTGCATTCTAAATTTTTACCACTAGTTGTATTTTTGTGTTCTGTGTGTTACATTTTATCCTATCAATGGTATTTTAATATAGCTCAAATAGAAGTTTAAAAAGTTCCACTTTTATTTATCCCAGAGTTTCTTAATGTTTACTCAGCATGATTTGCTTTCTATTCAAAAGCTACAAAAACTGCATTACGAATTCATGTGTACAATTGCTGTCAGATATACAAGACAATGAATCTTAGCTACTAATAGATGGTGTCGGCATGCATAGCAATATAGAGATAATTACAAGATGTGCAATAATAAAGCAAGAACACTGAAGTGTGAAATTTTTGTTCAGAAAAAAAACCTTTTTTTAAATTATATTCATTTAAAAAAGACAGTACCCAATTCTCAGCCAATGCGTACTTATTTATGACACTTATATGCAATGTATCTCGATCAAGTCTATGTTTATTTATAATTCTGTGTATGTATCATAAATAAGCATATGAATAGATAAAAAATGGCATTACTAGCATAAAAGTTTCTCCTCACAAGGGTCTAGGAATCATGGAAGACAACACTGAAGTTGTAGAAAACATAGTACAGAAAAACCTGCAGATCATAATTAAGAAGCTGGCATCGCTATCGGACATCAAAATTGGATCATCACGAGCTGAAGTTCCATAAAATGTCTGCAAGATCGATGCACAATTGTCTGACACCCAAAATAAAAAAAAAATGTGTCTATACATATTCAAAGTATTTTTGTAGCATATCATCATTCCAGATGACAGCTGGGTAGAATGAAGTTTAAGAATAAAAATAAAGTATGGTTCGTGGTGCATGAAATAACATGTTATTTAAACATGTTAATTATTTTCTGTAGTATCTATGGCTTGTCAAGCACTATTGTAAGTGTACTGAACTAGATGGAGATTATTTTGCCAGGTAATCATTTGAGTGTTTAGAATAAATATTTTGATAACAAAATATTCTATTCCACTGAATTTAATAACAGAAAAATATAAATGTCAGTAAAATATCCCTCCTCACTTTTAACTATATGTATTACATTCCATATGGAACCTTAGGGCTGACATATTTTTTCCTGTAGGCCAATTTCTTTGGCTAATCTGCCACTGCCTGTAGGAAAAATACAAAATGCATAATCCTGTACGTGTTAGCTGTTAAAATTTGTTGCTTGATGAATTTTAAAAACATTATTGCAATACTTTATGCAGTTTCAGATTTCCTCACATAGTTTAGCAAAAGTACTTCGGCACTTCAGAATGGCAAGGATCATTTTGATTAAATCATTGGAAAACAATAAATTTTTTATTACTCAAAAGAGTGTACTATACTACTTCTTTTTTAAAAAAACTGATTATATTAAGAAATGTTCCTTTTAGTTACACACACCTGGCTTTTTGTATTCTGTTAATAATACAAATACTGAATCTTGTCAATTCAAATCAAAAAGTGGGATTGTAATTAAATTGTATTTTTCACTAGCCCTCTATGGATGGAAAAAAAATTATTGGTGGGTAAGAAATTTGAAACCTTTGCTCATACATTATGTCCTTCTAGTAAATGAAAATGGGCTGAACCAAACTATGATGCTTTACAGACTGTAATTGAAAGTCACAATGAATCAAAATGGTACAGTAAAAGAAACAAATAAATAAATAAATAAATAAAGGTAAAAAATATCAGTTACCTGAGACATAACATAGAGGGTTTAATAAATGAAGATTTATATTAATAGTTTTCCTAATATCTAACATTACTTCTTAAAACAATTTTATTTAAAATATGATTTTTTTTAAATAATAGTTTTACTTAATTATATTACATGCACTTTTTTTTTTGTGTGTGTATGTGTGTGTGTGCGTGCATGTGTGTAAGTGTGTGTGCTGTGCGTGTGTGTGTGTGTGTGTGTTGTGTGTGTGTGTGTGTGCGTTCTCTAAGAAAATAACCTGGAAGGTCCAGTTGACAACTGAGATCATAAAAATAAAAATATAATGCTATTTGTGACTTTATCCAGATACATATGTATACTGTTAATAAATAACTAAACTTTAAATATGTGCTTATTTTTATTCTGAAGCAATTGTTTGCAAATGTTAATGTGTTTATTTTTAATATGAAAATACATACAAGAAATTTATTGAAAAAAATTATTTAAAGGAGGAAATCTATACCTATGCTATAAAGTGTTTATTTTCTACACAAGGTGCATAATTTATATAATTTTTTACTATAGACTCTTTATAAAATTAGATAATACAGATAAGTACATAGATTTATATACTGAAGTTAAAAGATAAAGAAATACCATTTTAATTACTAAAAATAATAATTATAAAATTTCTAACATTCTATTCTTAAATTATATTCACTTCCAATAGGGAAGCTGCACAAAGCAACAATAGGAGTACAAAGAGTACAAAAACAGTTACCTATTCTTATAAAGATTCAATAATAAATAAAAGTAGCAAAATGTTTTTAACAAATCAAAATTGTTAAAAATAGCCAAAAATACACTAAATATCAAGAATTTAGATTTCTCAATTTTATGTATGACAGGAAAGAAAATTATAGTGAAATATTTAACTGAATAAATCGTGATAAATAATGTAGTTTGACATCATAAAAGAAAAATATAATTGAAAAAAATTCAACTTTTATACATTTTTAAAATAATGAATATTTTTGCTTTATCTTCAGAAAAATGATATGAGAAGCCCAAGTTTCTTTTTTACTTTCAAAAGTTCGATATAGAAATTTTTGTAAAAAAAAAGGGGGGAATTAAATCGTACCAGAAGCACACCATTCAGAATGGTTGTAAATAAATGTAATTAAATGTAATTTTGACAGAAAAATATATTATGCTTAAATATAAAATTTAATCTTAAAATAAGTATTCATCTTTAAAAAATAATATTTAACATACAGGCACTCTGTTGCACTGAAAGATATTAATTTATTTTTGGACTGCATTTTTCTGTACTTTATTTTTGTCTCATTTCTTTTTAATTTCGCATCTGATAATTTTTCATTTTTTTGTTAAAGTATGGTAGTATGTACACATTAATTACCATTATAAACAATACTGTAAAATAATAATAAATGTTAATAATTTTTATTATTTCACAGTATTTGCTTTTTCTCCAATCTAGTATTTTGATCAACCATTTCATGCTTCTATTGAATATGTTTTTGCTACGTCTTGACCTCATTTTGGCTAGATTGTATTTTTACAACTAATAGTTTTTTTTTTTTTTTTTTTTTTTTTTTTTTTGGTGTGTGTGTGTGTGTGTGTGTGTGCTTTTTTGTATTAGAAATAGTTACCTTTTATTTTGTTCATTTTGGAGGTACATTGTAAATACTTGACTAATATAATTTAAAAAATACATTTTTACATGAGTTTTTTTTATGTAAAATAAGAGTACTTTTTCTTTTTGCATTAATTTATCAAGCTTTTAATAATTAATCAAGCTTTTTAATAGCTGCAAACCAATTTTTATTTTTCAAAATTTTTAATAGCTTTATTTTTTTAAGAAATAATTTCCTAATGAAAAGAAAAATACCATTTTACTCCTTTCTTAGAAAATAATTAAAAAAAAACTTATTACAGAATACTTCATTCTTGAATCTGTTTCTACAGTTTTGACAAACCCAAATTTCGAGCAGAAAGAAGTGCGATAATTTTCATAATTAAATATAGAAGTCTTTATAAGCTGCTTCAAGAAAGTATAATATTGTACTTTGAGATTAAAATGCTTAACAGTAATAATTAATTATATTTTTAAGTTGTACAGCATTTAATACTTTGCAGATACACATGTTTGTCTTTATATTCAACAAAGATATGCATTAGTCATCTCCCTAAAAGTTTCCTATTTGTAATTGCAGGCATTCTAATATATAAGGGTCAATTTAATATACACTTTTCATATCCTTTTAATTTGTGTATCTATTAATAAAACCAGTTACCGAATTGGTATATTTTATGAGTATATATTTCTTTCTTTCTTTCTTTTTTTTTTTTTTTTTTTGTTTTACATACATACCGTGATTTTATTTTCTATGAGATAATGCTTTTATGTTTTGTAACAGCTTTCTATGTAATAAAAAATTTACCTTCTCACCTTGTTACATTTATTTTTTATGCATAATTTTATTATTTAGTTTTGATGTAACACTACTTAAGGAACTTTTTTTTTCTTTTCACATAATTTATTTTGATCTAACTCAATTTAAATAGCATTTTTCTATAAATCTATAAATGTTCATCACCATTATATTCTAAAACGATATTCAGGGGGGAAAATTCTATAACTTATATTTATAACAGCATACTGCATTTCTAATCATACTTATTTTTTTAGTTAGTTTCAACTCTGAACTACAAATTTTGTGTATTGAAAACCTCAAATATGAATATACATCTTCTTCTTCAATGGCCAGACAGCCCAGGATGCCTTCTCAGAATCGAATTCCAAGCTCTTCTATCCCTGCCCATGGACATCCAATTGGTTATTTTTAAAATTATGAATATACATTTTGGGTATTAAAATCCTTCTAATATAAACTACACTGTCATAATCACTATGCCATAAAGAGTATTTTAAGTATTAACAGGGCTGCTAAAGTACTTTAATTCTAGTAGGCAACTAAAATACATCTTTTACCAGGAAAATGGCAATAAAAGTATCTAAACAATAAGCCCCCATATATTAGTTACTTTTTTGCACATCTGTGTTCATTAATTAGAGACATGCTACTTTTTTCTTTATGATGGAGTTACTTTATTTAAGTATGCATAATTATTAGTGTAAGTTTATTAAATTAAAAATGTTAAAATGGGAAAAAATAGCTCAAATGTTTATTTAGAGATTCCTATACTGGAGCCAATTTTCTGCTCCCCCCCTTATATATGTTCACACTTTAAGCAGTCTTTTGAGAATTCCATCTGTCAAATAAAAGCAAAATTTTGCTTTCATACTAATTTCTGTCTAATTTAAGAATAGAAAGAGAAAAACCAAATGGTATTATGCACATTGATGTCCTTTAACAAAACTAGATCAAAAAGTAAAATTAACTTAATATATCTTTGGGTTAAATGATGGCACAAAACTAATTTGTAACAGTTATTATACATGCTAATAAACATTAACTGACTCCTCTAATATTTCAAATAAGGCACCAAGGGGGCCATTTCGGCATGCAATGTCATAAGCAGTATCACCTGAATCATTCTTGATATTTGGATCAACATAAGGTTGCCAAAGTAAAAGTTCGAGTGTCCGTCTACCTGAAACATTGGATGCAGCAAGATGCAATGGAGTAATGTGGCCTTTTGTTTGAGCGTTTACATCTGCTCCATTTTGCAACAGAAGAGAAACTGCTTCAACACTATCCCATTTGCAAGCACAGTGCAGTGGTTGCCAACCATCTATTGTTGTTGCACTGACATCTGCATCATAAGATAATAGAATCTATGAAAAGAAATCTTATATTATACAGTGGTAAATAAAAGTAGCTAAATTAAAAGAAAGAAAATATGTTATTATGCAATAACAGCAATTTAGAAAAGATAAAATATTCACATAAAGCATAATTAGATTTCTTGTGATTCACTCTAAATAAAAGTCATTTTTTGCTTACAATGAAGCAAAAAATAGGAAGCAATCTAATTCTGTATTATGCTGTTGTAATCGAACTTATCGGACACTATGTACAATATTATAAAAGAGATTACACCTATATGCTACTCTCCTTTGCAGTATATTTTACCAGCTTCAAATAGTAGTTCAATAAGTAAATTGCATAATAATAAAAATTGAAATATTTTAAACTTTAACTATCACCCCAAAGGGTTTGTTAAGATTTTCTACATTCTCACTGAGCTTGCAATTTAGTTACATCTCACAATCTTAGTTTATTTATTAAACATCACATTCTTGGCACTTATGCTACATAAAAATTCAACAGTAAAATCACAAAATATTTAAAACCAACATACCTTTAGAAGTTCTGATAGACTATCTCGCGCGCTACAGATAAAAATGTTATATTCCATACAGTGCGGCCGTTGCTCATTTTTAAATTGTCGAGTTTGTTAATCAAAAGTTTATTAAAATTTTACAAAATATGAAATAGATAATAAAACAAATTCAAAATTTAGGCTTCGAAGTGCCCATGTTCGGTGGAGGACTACATTATTTAAATTTTGATGGCTCTAATAACGTAGCTTTTTCATAATGTGAGAAACATACATACATTCATTCAGATTCCTCATTATTTAATTTCTTTAATATGGATCTATAATATGTGGTGGGAACAATTTGAAAAGTGATACAACTCTTTTAAGTGTTTCACTAAAAAATACTGTTTCGAGATTAATATGCACTTGGGACTAATTTTCCTTTTGGGCTAAAAATTGCCAAGTGGAGAATGACAATGAGGCAGCAAATGAAACATCATTACAGTCTTATATAACTCACTAACTGTCCGTGTAAGCGAAGTGTCCTGTCGGCTAAGTGTCCTTGTCGACTAAGTGTCCGTGTTGGCTAACTGTCCTTGTCGGCTAAATGCCTTGTCGGTTAAGTGTTCCGTCGGCTAAGTGTCCGCAACTGACTTATAGCACTTAATTTTAAATTTACATATTTAATTAAGAAGTATCATCAATAAATTAATCTTTTTTATGAAGTTTTACTCATAATTTTTCATGAAAAAATACAATCTGAAAATGTTTAGAAAAAGGAAGATAAATAACTGCACTATGTAAATTTAAAATTCTATTAAGTGTTATAAGTTGCATAAATTTTCTATTCATTTTCAATTTTTAAATGCTCAGGTTTTCTTCTTACTTTTTCAGAAAAAATCTGTTAGTTCATTCAAAGGTACGAAATTTTCATGAAAAATACAATCTAAAAATGTTTAGAAAAAGGAACTTAAATAAAAGTATTATAAGTTGCATTAATTTTCTACAAATTTTCAATTTTTAAATGCGCAGGTTTTGTTTTTACTTTTTCAGCAAAGATCTATTAGTTTATTCAAAGATATGAAATGAATAAATAAAAATATCCCCCTTTGCATCTTGCACTTCCAAATCATTATGCAAAAAAGCAATTACAACTTTTAAAACCTGAAAGCTCATGTGTGTGATGTTATCATCATGCGATGATTTGTAGGTACTTTATTTTTTACCACGATGTTTTTAAACTTTGACGTTTTGGAATAGCTTTATTTTCGACCCCAATATTTTATAACTGCGATGTTTTCTCTTTGCTTCCTTTTTTCCCACAATACTTTGTTGCCTTGCATTGTTTTCTCTGCAATGTTTTTGACGTGATGTTTTCAGCAGACACCAGATTTAAACTATTAGTTCAAATCTTTATTTTTTGTTTACATAATATACATTTATTGAAAAAGTTACTGTATTTCAATTGCTTAACTTTTTAACCTATTAGATTGATTACATTTTAATAATATAGACTGTACACTTTGCGAGTTGGCAGCAGGTTATCTAAGAATTGGGTAATTGTGAGGTGACCCAGCTGTGCATTGCTTTCACAGGAGGGTTCCTACAAATGCTTCTAGCAAGTAAAGTGGCAAAAATTTTTATTTTACTAGGATAAGAAACTTGAGTAGCGAAAACAATATCACTTAGTGTTGATTAACAAAAATTTAGGAAATAGACATTTTCCAGATTAAAAGTTTACCTTTATAACTTCAACATTGTTGCTGTAAGAGGCTCTATGAAGAGGTGTGTATTCATCATTATCTCTTGTATTCACAAGTTCTGAATCTTCTTCAAGCAATCTTCGCAATGTTTCTAACTCATTTTTTTCAGCAGCCCATAATATCATTTTTTTAGGATCGCCTAATACAGGACAAAATTTTTAATAAAAACATGGGATAAAAATTATAAAATACATTAAATTAAGGTACTTTTCCATTTTGCCGGAGCAAGCGATAAAGTCGCTCAAAATGGTACAACCGATGCCAAACAGAATATCCTCGCTGGTAACCTTTTACGTTTCATTTTCAAAACACATCGCAGCTATTTCTATCAGATTGAATGTTTCTTTCAATACTGGGATACAATGACATAGAATTTTTACCAGATAGTTCAATTTTATGTCCTAAGGCCATTCGCGGTAATTAAATCAATTAGGATGCAATCACACGCTCACCCAAAAATATAGAAAAGGCAAATTCAAGGGTTAAATTCATCAATTCTAATGAGAATGCACTAGCAAAGTAAACACTGCGGTTTACATAATTTCTGAGTAAGCTATTCGTATGAATTGAAATAATTCCTGCATTTAAACTTGTATTCCAAATTAAGATTTAACTTGAAATTAATGTAGATAATTACTGAGAGAATTAGGGTAGTTTAACACTTGGGGTCACGTGATATGAAATGGCGAATCAGAATGTTGTACCATGAAAGCATAGTAAATTCTTAAATTAATCTCTTTTTACAAATACAAATTGTCTTTCTACAAATTTATTGTCTTTATTTATTATCATTTTACAAAATTTTAAATGATATTAAAATGTTTATGCCTTTAAAATTAAAATTTCTTAGAACTAACATTTGTTAACATTTTTTATGTGTATACTGTGTGTTGTCGCCAATAAAGTCTGCTTGGCAAGATTTGCGCCGGCGAAACGGAAAAGCACCTAAATTAATTATAAAAGACAACCACTGAACACAGAATTTGCTTTGTTTTATAAATTTATGATGATTCAAAATATACATAAAAAATTTACATCAAAAGAAAATTATATCTAGATATACCTTGATGATATATTATTAATAAATACCTTATATGATAAAATTCTTTTATTCTGTTCATCTAAATCTATTTCTTCCTTTTATTAATAAAATTTTCCTTTACACTGAATAAAATTTTGAGGAAGGGAAAATATTTTGCATAGAATCAAATTCTAGGGTTTTTTTTTTAAATGGTGTTATGATTTCTTTTTTTTTTTTTTTGTATTACTGCATTATCTGGCAACCTTGACAAGAATTTCAGGCATGGTGCTATGTTGCCAAAGTAGGCAACCCAGAATTTTACCTGGCAAGCCATTAATGGTTGCATGCACATTATGCAAGCATGTAATGCCATCCTCTATCTCTAGTGAGGGTAGAAATTCATGTGATTTTGAAATTTAAGAATCATGTTTGTGTTTTTTATTATTAAGCGCATGCAATTTTTTTTTTTTTTTTTTTTTTTTTTGAAGGGGTGTAACAAACTCTAAAAGAATCAACCTTTCTAATGAAAGAGAAAGAACAGCATTTTTTTAGAAATATGGTGTTTTGCTAATTAGTATGAGAGCGCAGAAATGTGCATTCCATGAAGTTAATTTGTGTAATTTTCTAACTTCAGTTAAAAGAGGTTGATGCAAAGCCAAGAATTCTGCAATTCTCTATTTTTTTTTTTTTTTTTTTTTTAAGTTAAAACAGATTGCTGTGCACATGGACAGAAAACCGAAAAATTAGAAAGTTAAGCAGTTATTATGGATGTTTGTTGCAATTTTAGCCCAAAAGAGATGTTAGTCCCAAATGTGATATTAGTCTCAAGGCGGCATTTTGCATTGAATCACTATAATGGCATATCATGTCTAAATTTAGTTAATTTGCATTGTTTTACGAAATTTTGAGTTTTTTGATATAGTTGTCTGTTTTATGTAATTTTTTATTTATTATGGATGTTTCTTGTTTTTTAATTTAGTTTATGGTTGTTTTATGTAATTCTTAGAGGGTTAATAAAAATGATTACAGTTTTTCATGTGTTAGGATGGCAACTTTGAGGGAGGGTTGGGTGGACAAGAGAGTGCCATCTTTCCTACTACTACTGGCTGGTACAATATTTTTCCTCTTTGAAGATTAGCAACCTCTCATACAACCTGAAAATTAACAACAATATAAAATCAAATTTTAAATTTCATGTTCAAATGCTTTATCTTCATAATTTTTTTAGTGTTTCATGTTATCACCAACTATAAAAAACATGTTTAGTCTATATTTTAGGGTGCCCCTTGGGTTATTGCCAAGTTGTTTCATTTATCACCAAATTGTTGTTTCATTTATGGTAACCTGAGTAATTGAATGTTATGGAAACCCTATTATGAGGTGATTGTGGTGAAACTGATGAGAAAATATTTGGCAGGGCTTATTTCTGTGTTGGATGTCGGTTAGGAAGTAGGTTGCGCATTTTGTGCTTTACATCATAAAGTGGCTACCGGTGGTAAACTGGGTGTCTTGTGGTATAGAACGAGAGAGTGGATTTTTTTTTTTTTTTTTTTTTTTTTTTTTTAAGTGGTTGAGAACAGAAGAAAAGAAACTTCCTAGATGAAATTCAATGGAATATTTTACCTGGAACAAGGATCATATATGACTGCTGGAAGTCGTATGATTGTCTTTTTTGATACAATTATCTTTGTTAAACTTCTCAGTAAATCACACAGTGAAATTTAAGGATCCAGAAACCAGAGCTCATATCAACACTACTGAAGGTATGTGGAGTGTAATAAAAAGGAATTTTTTGGAAGAAATGCCATTGACAGTTCGGCACTATGGAGGATACTTTTTACTCTTATTTTTGTGAATTTATGTGGAAAAAGCAATATATAGATTCTAGTTCAGATAATTTTATAAAGTTTTTGAGTGCTGTTTCGGAATTTTGTGTGCCACAAATTTAAAACACAGAAATTTTAAAGAACAGAAAGAAAGACACAGAAAGTTAATATTTCTTTTTTGTATTGTGTTTGCTTGGTAGTATATAAACTCACCATAGGTCAGGGTCCACTCTTTCCTCAACAGCACTGTGTATATGAGATAACATGTATTTCCTTTGGCTCTAGTGTAGAACTGGGCGCCCCTTCAATTGGCGACAAATTTTGTTCAATTTTGGTTATGAGTAACTTTGTTTTAGCCTTATATTATGTCATTATTCTCCTGAATTTTTTTTAAAGTGAAAATAGATTGATGTGTACATAGATAAAGGCAAGGCAGTGTGTAATGCCAAGTTTGTGCAATTCTCTGATTTTTTCCAAGTGAAATCGAAGTCGAAGAGTACATGGACACCCAGTTTGTAGAATTTTTCGAGTTCTAATTTTGGTTTTATGTAGCGGCCATCTTGAAATTGTGCCTTCCTGGCATTAAAAAATAATCAGCAATAAAAACAAGTGGCACCCAATTGTAAACTTTTACCTTTCCTTTTTTATGTTGTTCCATTGTTTGATTTAAAATGCAGTTTATTGAGATTATATATTTTTTGTTTTAATTATGTTTTATTTCATTATGTTGTGAATGCCATTTTACTGGGAAGGGCATTAGATGTAAGCAGGAATGGTGCCAAAAAATCGCCAATTTTCGCCAAGTGGCACCCTGACATTAAAAAATTCAAAAACGGGATAAAATACCCCTATCATCTGAGCCTTTTCGTACAGCATTTTGGTTTTTACACTTTACAGAGTAAGGAGACTATTAGTTTCATTTGTTTGCAATCTTCTGACATAGCTTTTAAATTTTATTATATGAAATTAAGCATTTCTGAAGTTCTGTCGGAAGTTGATACATATATAACAGGCTCACAGTGTCTAACTACTGAACACTGGTAATTAAACCCAGGTTCAATTTTCCTTAAAAATTACTCTACAAAGGTATACCTTCATTTAAGCAGATAACCCTCATATATTTTGCTATAATCTGAAGTATCTAATCTTTTAATTGGAAAAAAAAATATTTTAAAATATAAAAGTAAAATAAAATGCTTATAATAAAAACATTTTACTTTAACGTATTTAAATCTGTTATTTTATATTAAAAATTTAATCTGTTTAGCAAATATTTAAACTAAGTTAGTGTAACATTTCAACTTATAGGAATGCTACATTATAAAGATAACCATATTTCAGGACGACAGAAGTTTTTATCTTAAATTACACAACAGCATGGAGAGCTAAATTTTTACAATAGTTTTAAAATAATTTTAAAAAAAAAGTGATTATATACAGTCAAAAGTCGTTAATCCAGACACGTCGGGACTTCGGCGATTCCGGATTATAGATCATCAGTTAAATAGCGTAGAGTTTTGAACTTACAGAAATTCTAAATCTATTGAATATGTGGCAAAGCACACTAAGCTATCTGAACAAGAAAAGAGGAATGATGGGTGAATCTTCTGTTCGGATTATGGTAACTTAGCGGTTTTTTGGCGAAAATGTGACGACCAACCCTGCTACAGCAACCTGCTAGTTTTGTTTTGGACGCCATTTTGTTTTCTCGAAGTAAAGGTTTTTTTTTTTTTTTTTTTTTTTTTCCCTCAACATTTTTTCCAACAATCTGCTAGCCGAATTACGCTTATACTAGAACTTTTATGGAACAAAAATGCTTAATCATGACGAAGATTAGGTGCGAAATTGGGAGAAAAAGCAGAATCACCCACTGCTTGCCATGTTTTTAAGAATTGCACATACACGGTATCATCCATGTACACGTCGACCTATTTTCACTTAAAAAAAAATATCCCAGAATTGCACAAAAATGGCATTGCGCACACTCTTGACTTTATCCATGTACACTGCTAAAGTCCTAGCTAGTAAACTTTATCGCCTTACTAAAATGTTGCCAAACTACCTGTTACCATATTCCAAAGATTAGCCCAATTATGATCTAAAGGGTATCAAAATTTAAAAAAAAAAAAAAAAAAAAAAAAAAAAAGCTTAATATTTATTTGTTTACTTTATTAAACATTTCTTTCAATGCAAGTTGTTTAAGTTACTTCGTTTTATGTGATAATACTTTCTCTTTAATTCTATAAACAGACATAATTTCTTGTTCACTTACAAAGTTCCGCTGTTCAAGTC